TTTTTTTTTTTGAGACAGAGTCTCACTGTGTCTCTCACTATGTCACCCTCGGTAGAGTGCCATGGCATTACACCTCACAGCAACCTCAAACTCTTGGGCTTAAGAGATTTTCTTGCCTCAGCCTCCCAAGTAGCTGGAACTACAGGCACCCACTGCAAAGCCCAGCTGTTTTTTGTTGCAGTTGTCATTGTTGTTTGGCTGGCCTGAGCTGGATTCGAACTCACCAGCTTTGATGTGTGTGGCTGGCACTATAACCACTATGCTATGGGTGCCGAGACCCCCCCCCTTTTAAAAATAATCTACATTCTAATTAGGTTTTATCGTAATTGTGTTTTTCTAGAATGTGAGCTTTGACCTGCCACCAACTGCAAAAGTGTTAAACAGCAGCTCTTGTGGTAAAGAGAACACTTCTGACACCCGTCTTGTGATTGCTTTTGGAGGAGGACATGAACTGACTTTCAATTTCACAAGAGATGCAGACCGCTACAGTGTCCAGCTCCTGAGTTTTGTGTATAACTTGTCAGACACACTTATTTTCCCCAATGCAAGCTTCAAAGGTAAGAGCCAAAACTGACCAGTTATGTGGTTAGAAGATTATCTAAAATTACATTTCACTAAGGACTATGAATTGGACAAAATTATGACTTTTTTTTTTTTCTTTTTTGGATCCAGATGCCAAGACTGTGGAATCCATAACTGACATCAAGGCAGACATAGATAAAAAATACAGATGTGTTAAAGGCACCCAGGTGCACATGGGCAATGTGAGCCTCACTCTCCGTGAGGCCACCATCCAGGCATACCTTTCGAACAACAACTTCAGCAAGGGAGGTAAGACATTGACCCTCGACATCTGGTGTCTGACTGTGTCTGACTATGGGACTATAGTGCCTGTAGGTGACCTCATTTCTCTCTCTCTCTTTCTTTTTTGTGTGTGTGTGTGAGACAAGAGTCTCACTTTGTTGCCTTTGGTAGAGTGCTGTGGTATCATAGCTCATAGCAACCTCAAACTCTTGGGCTTAAGTGATGCCTGCTACAATGCCCGGCTATTTTTAGAAGCTGGTCTCGAACATGTGAGTTTAATCTACCCTCCTTGGCCTCCCAGAGTGCTGAGGTTACAGGTATGAGGCACCTGGCTGACCTCATTTCTCTTCAGTCTTTTTTTTTTGAGATAAGAGTCTCACTATGTTGCCCTGGGTAGAGTGCTGTGGTGTCACAGTTCACAATAACCTCCAACTCTTGGGCTTAAGCGATTCTCTTGTCTCAGCCTCCCAAGTAGCTGTGACTACAGGCACCCGCCACATTGCCTAGCTATCTTTTGGTGTAGTTGTCATTGTTTGGCAGGCCTAGGCTGGATTCGAACCCGCCAGCCCTGGTGTATGTGGCTGGCGCCCTGACCACTGAGCTGCTGGTGCTAAACCTGCTTTTCTATTTTTAAAAGATAATGTCTCACTGTGTTACCCCATCTATAGTGCAGTGATGCTATCACAACTCATTGTAACCCTGGATTTAGAGAATCAAGCAATCTGTCTGACTTAGCTTTCTGAGTAGCTGGAACCACAGATGTGTGCCACCATGCCTGGCTCATTTAAAAAAGAAAAAAAACAAAACTTTTTTCTTTTCTTTTTTTTTCCCCCTGGTGGCAATAAGGTCTCACAACGTTGTCCAGACTGGTCTCAAACTCTAGGCCTCAAGTAATCTTCCTGCCTTGGCCTCCCAGCATGCTGGGATTATAGGCATGAACCACCATTCCCAGGCAGTTGTTAAGATTTAAAAAGGAAATTAACACAATGTGCTTATCCCAGTGTCTGGCCAGAATAAGTAGCAAATATGTATTAAATCATTTTACCATCAGTTAAGAAAGCTCTCACTCCAAATCCTGCCAGTCTAGATCATAAGTCATCATCACTTTGTAGGGGGAAGGGATATGGTTTGCATTAGGGTGAGCTTTCTCAGCTGTTGGGGGATAATAATAACAGCACAGTCTTCTTCCATAGGCTGCTGCGGAAGCCTCTGCTTTGCCATATTCTATAGTAGTCTTGTTGGAAAGCCCAAGAGTGACTGCTGGGGCAAGGGGTTTGGGAACCCTGTGTCATAGTACTCGTCCTGCCTGCCTCCATTTTCTGTGTAGCCCATGAGCTAAGAATCACTTTTGTGTTCATAAATTTAGTGTACAACAAATCAAAAGAATATTTCGTGACATATGAAGATTATGTAAACATTCAGTGTTCAGAAATAAAGTTTTATAAAAGAACATAGCCACGCTTATTTACACATTTTCTGTGGCTGTTTTTGTGTTAGCAGTGGCGGGATTTAGTTGCCTTAACAGAAAGCCACAGCCTGTAAAGTCTAAGATATTTACTGTCACTTTATAGCAAAAGTTCGTCTCCTTTGACCTGAGGGGAAGAGCATTAGTGACAGTAAAAGGAATCCCAACTTGGGTGTGACTGGGAAAACAGATTTTACCGGGCCATGTGGGGTGCAGAAGGAAGCTCACATTGGAGTGGGTCTATTGACTGCACAAGCACCCAGGAGCTGTAGCAATAGCCCCTTTCCGGGCGTGTGAGTGACTGCCCACTGCACAGCCTGGTTCAGAGGGCTCTGCGGGATTGTGCCTGCCCAACTGGGACGAGCAGGCTGCAGAGGGACTGTGGGTGGTGGGCTTCTGTGTGTGCAGCTGGTCTGAGGACAGCTGTCTGGCAGCCTCTCCTGGGGTCCATCTGTGCTTATTAAACTTCACCTCAGCCAGAGCTAAGGGTGACTTCAGCTGAGCAGAGTGTGGAAGGGAGCAGGAGGTAGAGAAACAGATGTTAGGGCCATTCATGTTCATGGTTCTGAATTTCCATGTACCTAGCGGGCTGCATCAGTGTTGTCTCTAGATCAAAAGAGGACGAAGTTGGAACATCTGGATGCAAACACTGTTCAGCCAACCCTGGTGTTGGCCCCACAGCCTGAATGGTGCTCTGGAATGGCACCATTTGGTAGGGGTCTTCATGGTAGGGGTCAGCAAAGATCTTGACAGCCGTGAGTTTGGTAGGTATATTCTCTGGATTAAAAATAGGGGTGTTACAGAGCTAGAGAGACTTTTTGTGTGTTGTTTTTTTTTTTTAATTTGGTTGATTGTTTTTGTTTTTTAGAGACAGAATCTTACTCTGTTACCCTGGGTAGAGTCTTGTGGTGTGTTAGCTCATAGCAACCTCGAACTTGCGGGCTTAAGCGATCCTCTTGTCTCAGCCTCTTGAGTAGCTGGGTGTACAGGTGCCCGCCACCAGGGTCAGCTAGTTTTTCTATTTTATTAGGGACAGAGTCTCGCTTTTACCCAGGCTGGTCTTGAACTCCTGAGTTCAAGCAGTCACTCTGGCTCATCCTCCCAGAGTGCTGGGATTACAGGGGTGAGCCACTATATCTGGGCATTATTGTGCTTTTTTAATGTTAATGATTTCTTTTAAGATAGATTTTATTTTTTCTGAGTAGTTTTAGGTTTATAGCAAAATTAGTCTGATCCTGTATATTCCCTGCCTCCCCCACTGTCCAAATCCCACATGTTAGTTCCTATTTTAATGTAGAACATACTAACATGGAAAAAATAAAAAAACAGGCTGTCTTCCTGACAACTAAGCCCAGTGTCCTGGTGTGGCCTTGTTGGGTGTAGGGCTGCCCAGAGGCTGGGCTTCTAAGGACGTGGTAATGGGTGGGGACTTGTAATGGGGCAGCTGAAGACTTGGGAGCACTCACTGTGTTAGTAAATCCCACTGGGTGAGGAGGGAGTTGGGGTGTCCTGACTGCCTTCCACCAGCTGGTTGTGTCCTAGTGGCTGGCTGTCAGTCCTCCTCTCATTCTAGGGAGGCCAAGGCGAGGGAGATTGGCAGTGAAGGCCCAGGGAGTCTGTATCCTCTTCACTGGGAAAGGGTAGCTCCAGGCCTTTGAAGCCGAGTCCTTTGCACTAACACTTCAGTAGGCTGGGCCTCTGTTGCTAAGAAACAGTAACCACAAAACAAAAAGTGACCCCCTAAGTTGGTGGAGGAATCTGAGGTTTTATTGCTGACATATTGTCCCCCCCCCGCCTCCCCCCCACACTACCCAAAAGAAGTTCTTGCTTTGCTCCAGTTTGGGTCTTGGCCTCCTGTGGCCTATGTGGAAGGACAGTCAGTGGAAGGGATGCAGGTGGCTACACGGTGGTGCTCCCTGGAGTGCGGGGCGGGGTGTGTGTGTGTGTGTGTGTGTGTGTGTGTCTTGAGCCTCAGTAGACTGGGATCCAAATTAGTTTTTTCTTAGTTTTTAGAGATAGAATCTCACTTTGTCACCCTTGGTAGAGTACCGTGGTGTCACAGCTTATAGCAACCTCCACCTCTTGGGCTTAGGTGATTCTCTTGCCTCAGCCTCCCAAGTAGCTGGGACTACAGGTGCCTGCCACAATGTGCGGCTACTTTTTGTTGCAGTTTGGCTGCGGCCAGGTTTGAAACCGCCACTCTTGGTATATGGGGCCAGTGTCCTACTCACTGAGCCACAGGCGCCACCCCCAAATTAGTTTTTTAAAGCTCAATAGTTAGTGTGTCCCGGAGCTGCTGTCTGCATCCACAAGGCTTGAGTCATAGAAAGAGCCCAAGTCCTGGAAAACCCGGCATCTCCCCCATTTCTTGTCCTGCTGATTCTGTTTTTGACAGTGGTTGATACTAATGTTACTTTGCAACTAAAGGGACTTAGTAGTTTCCCTACAGATAGGAGATTGCGATAACCACATATGCCACTGTGAACATAGATGGCTTTAAAATATTTTTATTAGAATTAAGGCATTTAGGCTTGGTGCCTGTTGCTCAGTGGTTAGGGTGCTGGCTGCATGCACCAGGGCTGTCGGGTTTGAACCCAGCCCAAGTCAACTAAACAACAATGACAACAACAAAAAAATAGCTAGGGATTGTGGTGGGTGCCTGCAGTCCCAGCTACTTGGGAGGCTGAGGCAAGGGAGCCACTTAAGCCCAAGAGTTTGATTTGAGGTTGCAGTCATTTATAGCTGGGTGCCCATAGCACATTGGTAATGACACCAGCCACAGAACATTGAAGGTGGCCGGTTCGAACCTACCCCGGGCCAGCTAAAAATACAATGGCAAAAAATAAATAGCCGGGCTTTGTGGTGGGCGCTTGTAGTTGCAGCTACTTGGGAGGCTGAGGCAAGAGAATTGCTTAAGCCCAAGAATTGGAGGTTGCTGTGAGCTGTGATGCCACAGCACTTTATGAACCTCAACATGATGAGACTGTCTCAAAAAAAAAAAAAGTCATTTACTTTTTCATTTTCTCTTGTGCTAATTTCTTTTTTCCCCCAGGCACTTTTGTGCACAGGACTTAACATTTTTTTATGTTCTTTTTTTTTGAGACAGAGTCTCCCTGTGTCGCCCTCAGTAGAGTACTCTGGTGTCATAGCTCACAGCAACCTCAAACTCTTGGGCTTAAGCAATTCTTTTGCCTCAGTGTGCCAAGTAGCTGGGACTGCAGGTGCCTGCCACAATGCCTGGCTAGTTTTTTGTTGTTGTAGTTGTCGTTTAGCTGGCCTGGGCCAGGTTCAAACCCTCTAGCCTGGGTGTATGTGGCCGGTGCTGTAACCACTGTGCTATGTATGAGCGCTGAGCCTATTTTTGGTGTCTTTTAACTAATTTGCAAGCAGCTTCAAGAAAAATATCCCAGATCAGTTATTTTAAGTATATGTGTGTGTGTATGTATATATTTATTTTAGTTTAGTTTAGTTTTTGAGACAGTTTCACTCTGTTGCTCTAGGTAGCTTAGAGCAGTGTTTCTCAACCTTCCTAATGCTGTAGCCCTTTAATATGGTTCCTGTGGGTCGAGAACTGCTGGTGGCTTGAGAGCTCTTTCTTTAGCCTCCCTCGTAGCTGGGACTACAGGTGCCCACCATGACCCCCAGTTAGTTTTTCTTTCTTTTTTTTTTTTGAGACAGAGCCTCAAGCTGTCCCCCTGGGTAGAGTGCCATGGCATTACAGCTCACAGCAACCTCCAACTCCTGGGCTCAAGCGAGTCTCCTGCCTCCGCCTCCCAAGTAGCTGGGACCACAGGCGCCCACCACAACGCCCGGCTATTTTTTTGGTTGCAACCGTCATTGTTTGGCGGGTCTGGGCTGGGGATTCGAACCCGACACCTTAGTTGTACGTGGCTGGCGCCTTAGCCAGTTGAGCTATAGGCACCGAGCCTAGTTTTTCTTTCTTTCTTTCTTTTTATTTTTTCTTCTTGTTTTGAGACAGAGTCTCACTATGTTGCCCTTGGTTGACAGCTGTGATGTCACAGCTCACAGCAACATCAAACTCTTGGGCTTAAGTGATTCTCTTGCCTCAGCCTCCCAAGTGGCTGGGACTACAGGTACTTGCCACAATGCCCGGCTATTTTTTGTTGTAGTTGTTGTTTAGCTCGCCTAGGTTGGGTTCAAGCTCACCAGCTTTGGTGTACGTGGCTGGTGCCGAGCCTAGTTTTTCTATTTTTAATAGAGACAGGGTCTCACTTTTGCGCAGGCTGGTCTCAAACTCTTGAGCTCAAGCAAACCACCCACCTCAGCTTCCAAGAGTGCTTAGAATTACAAATTCTGTCTCCAAAAAAGGACCATGCCCCATGGGGTGGGCCTCCAGCCCAGGTATCTGGGTTTCTTCATATTGTTATCTTTAATGTTGGATAACATGAGTGCTTGTAGAATTAAGCAAATAGCTTATATAACCATTAAAAGTTAAGAGACTGCTTTTAAACACACATTATCATAAATGCATCCCACCTCCTGCCCAATTGGGCAGTATTGTTTTTCATTCTGCTGGAACCAGTATCACCCTCCTAGTCCACCTTAAGTTGAAGGAATTGAGGCTAAAACATCGCTTATCTTTTGATATACTTCCTAAGGGCAGTCTGCAGATTGGTTTGGTTATCTGTGTTGTGGCTCGCTCAGTCTCAGAGCTTCCTCGTGATTCACCTTGTTTGCGGTTGTGACCCAGGGCAGGAAGGACTTGGGTATTTAGTGTGTGTTTAAAGAAGGAAGGAAGAAATACCGGTTTGTGTGGGGGTTTGTGGGTTTTGCATTGGTAATTCAGGTAGAAGGAATAGGGCATTTTATCCACACAGATTTCTAAAGTCCAAAATTTTTCTGACTGGCGGTTAGACCCAACAGTATGTTATTCCTATTTACAATGTGATATCTTTTTTTTTTTGAGACAGGGCCTCACTCTGCCACCTTGCCTAGAATGCAGTGTCATCACAGCTCACTACAACCTTAGACTCCTGGGGTTGAGCAATCCCCCTGCCTTAGCTTCCCAAGTAGCTGGGACTACAGGTGCCCACTACCACACTCAGCTAATTTTTCTATTTTTGGTAGAGATAGGGTCTTGCTTTTGCTCAGCTAGTCTCAAATTCCTGAGCTCAAGGACTTGAAGAGTGCTGGGATTACAGGGGTGAGCCACAACGCTCAGGCTCAAAAGTGGCCTCTTTTAATCTACTTTACAGAAATAACGTAGGAAAATGAATGTGTTGCGTGGATCATAGGTTATGAATATTGTCAAATTAGTCTAGTTGTGTGGCTGTCTAAACTGGAATTAGAAGACTGGCCTGTTTTGGTTTGGTGTGCATTTAACTTTTACACATGATCACGTGTTCTGTTTTTAAAAGGACAACTGTGATGTCAGCCTGCTGCTTGGCCTAAGGGTAGTGGGCATGGGACGTGTCAGCACATCCTGGGGCCAGACGTCTCCATAGTGGTGTCTGCCTCCTTCTCAGAGCTGAGAACAGTTATTGTGGGGTCCTCTTTGTACAGTCTTCACTAGGGACAGCGTCCTGAGTAAGCTGAACTTTTGGGAGGTTGTGAAATACCATGTGAGTGAAGTTTTCTCTCTCTCTTTCTCTTCCCCAGTAGGTGGGGTGGGAAGGTGGGAATTAGCAACTGGAAAAGAGTTACAGAGTTAAAATGGAGCTTCCTTGTGGTTTTGAGACGTGAACACTTGTGAGCACACCAGTTTTCTATGACTCAGCCTTACAGAGGTGTGGAAAGGATCAAATTGGGTGGAAATTGTGTAGTTGTTACTCAGAACTTGATTATCCACAGAAACAAGGTGGTAAAAGAAAGAACCTCTTCCGAGGTTGTTAGCAGGTGGTGTTTGACAGTGTTGCAGGGCCCAGTGTCCATCCTGAATGCTCAGTGGTTCTTTGACAGTGTTGCAGGGCCCAGTGTCTATCCCAAATGCTCAGTGGTTCTTTGACAATGTTGCAGGGCCAGTGTCCATCCGAATGCGCAGTGGCTCTTCTTTTGCTTCAGTCTGCCTTGATTTTGAATGTGAGTTTAGTTGTAACCATCTTGGTGGGTTCACAGTGCTCAGCATGCTCCCCACTACCTTGGGTGCGTGCCCTGCTGTGGATGGTGCTCTACTGCCTGGGGCTGCTACCCAGTCAGCTGCTGTACCTTTCCCCGATGGAGGACACCTGCCTGTGTCCTTATGACCTCCCCACATGAAACCCCGAGGCGGCTGGTGTCCTGGCTGGGATGTTTCCAGCACAGAGGTTCTTGGCACTGACGATGGTTCAAAAAATCATCCCCCAGCTCAGCGCCTGTGGCTCAAGTGGCTAAGGCGCCAGCCACATACACCACGAAGGTGGCGGGTTCGAATCCAGCCCGGGCCCGCCAAACAACAATGATGGCTGCAACCAAAAAATAGTCAGGCATTGTGGTGGGAGGCTATGGTCCCAGCTACTTGGGAGGCGGAGGCAGGAGACGCGCTTGAGTCCAGGAGTTGGAGGTTGCTGTGAGCGTGATGCCATGGCACTCTAGCCAGGGGGACAGCTTGAGGCTCTGTCTCAAAAAAAAAAAAAAAAAAAAATCACCCCCACCATCCCCATATCAAGTGGCGTGTGGGTGAGCAGACATCTGGGTCTTCTCAGCCCCACAGTGGGAAGAGGAGGGTGTGGTGGACACTGTTGAGCTGCGTGTTGGCATGTGGGAGGCTGAGCTGCTCTGCTGCCACAGGCTGTCCATCGACTTCTGCATTTGGTTCTCTAACTGCTGAGGGCTGTGAAGGACCTAGACTCTGAACTTCTTCCCTGTGACAGCGTAATTCCCTGTCCCTGTCCCTGTCCCTGTCCCTGCAGAGACACGCTGCAAGCAGGATGGGCCTTTCCCGACCACAGTGCCGCCTGTGCCACCCAGCCCCTCGCCAGCACCCGAGAGCCCCTCAGTGGAGAACTACAGTGTGAATGGCACCAATGGGACCTGCCTGCTGGCCAGCATGGGGCTGCAGCTGAACCTCACCTACGAGCAGAGGGACAACAAGGTAGGGGCTGCAGTTCTTCCTGCTAGCTCAGGTCTGTGTTGGGGGCCCTGCTTGGTAGAGTGCGAGTCATAGCACAGGAGCTGGTAGCTTTTTAGTGAGTTCTTGGGAACACAGATGTCCCCACTGCTGGCGTCATCACACCTGCTTCCTGTGACAGAGACACTGCATGACGGCAGAGGCGCCACCTGGCCCACAAAGCCCCAGATGTTTGTTTGCACTTTGCAGAAAAAGTTTGCTGACCTGGTAGCACCTAAGTTCCCCTAGCATCTCCTAGGCAGGCACTGTCTCTCTTGAGGCTGTGTGGTTTCTCTCGAGTGGTGCAGGCCTCAGGCTGCAGGAGGGCATGGCTTGAGGCAGTTTGTAGCACGTGGCTATTCAGGGCAGAGCAAGTGTTGGGCACTGCACCCACCTCCACGCAGGGACACAGTATTCTGAAAGTGGCAATAAGTAGTGGGAAAAATTAGTTTTGGAATTTGGAAGTCTTTACCTAGTACAGACTTTTGTTTTCTTCCTTCTGGGTTTGGTTAAAATGAATGTGGGCCTGAATCTACTGTTATAGAATTGTCTTGATTTTTCAAGAGTGTAGAGGACCCAGAGCCTGAAGTGGCAACCTGCTTGCCTTCCTTATGCAGACTGTGACTCGAGTGTTCAACATCAACCCGAGTAAGACCTGGGCCAATGGGACTTGCAGCTCCAACCTAGTGACCCTGGACCTGTGGAGCGAGGACGTTGCCCGCCTGGTCTTCCAGTTTGGGATGGTGAGAGGCTCTGAGGTCTTTGTCCCTCTGGGGACTCCACTGCCTTTGCTATCTGCCATGACCTCTGCACTTGTAGCACAATGGGCCAGGGCTGCCCGAGGGGGCTTCACTTTTGTCTGCTTTCCCTCTATAGTGGCTGCTTGGTTCCTCAGCCTTCTCTTCCTCAGCCATTCACAAATACCATTCACTTCTGCATTGGGCATTGGCTGCAGAAGGGAGAGGGATGCAGGGTCCAGGCCCTGTGGCTGCGAGGCTGCTCGATCTCCTGGTTGCAGACATCACTGCCCTGCTGCGTTTGTCTGGGAAGAACCTCAGGCAAAGTTAGCAAAATAATAGATGAAGATATAAATGCCTTACAGATTCTTTAAATAATGCTTTGCCAGTGAATTACAGTTGAGTCTCTTGTCATAAACTGTACCTTTCTTTATATCCTGCTTCCCTATACCTTTCAGGAAAGGTTTTCTTGTTGAGCATGTACTCTGGGAATCCCCATCTTTGGCAGAGAATCCAGTTCTCTTTATAGACTGTTCTGTAGTGTTCTTATAATACAGAATTCAGACTTACTACCAAATGGCTTTTCAAGTTTGGTGATAAATGTGTGAATGTACTAAGTGGTTAAAGATTTTCTCTTTCTTTTTAAGAATGCAAATTCTACCCGGTTTTTCCTGCAAGACATCCAGTTGAGCATGATTCTTGCTGACGCTCGAGGTGAGGCTCACAGTTCTTACGGCCTCCCCATCCCACTCCAAGTGCCCCCAGTAATCAGATGTTCATGTGCCTTGTAGACCCCCACTTCACAGCTTCCAATGGCTCGCTGATGGCACTACAGGCCACCCTGGGCAATTCCTACAAGTGCAATGCCGAGGAGCGTATTCAGGTCACAAAGGCATTTTCTGTCAACATCTTCAAAGTCTGGGTCCAGGCCTTCAAGGTGGAAGGTGGCAAGTTTGGATCTGGTGAGTAGCACAGAGGCCAGCATTTAGGGAGATGGTGATGACAGAGCACTTCAGACTCTAACTGTGGACACTGAACAGCTCTTATGTTGGATGTGGGGAGTTTTAGGGGGAGGATCCTCTTTCCTTTGCTCTTCCCATTTGAAGAGATTTGGAGAAAATTGCCCTTTACAAATACAGACACCTGACGCCATGTGTGAATAAGGTAGTGATTTTAGGAAATGGTGTTTGTCTGCTCTGTTCCCATTTAGAGTTGAATGTAAAAATGTTACCTGCTATGTTCCGTGTTCTAGAAGGGCCCATAGGCTCTAGACACGCAGCACACCTGACTGGCCGCATCCACAATGAGTGGTGGCTGTGGGTTCTGATGGGGGAGAAGTCACCCTTGTGATCCCTGCCTCTGTCACATGCCCTGAGGGATGGTTACCTGGATCTGGCACCTCCCACCTTGGCCTCCCCTTCTGCTTGGCTAAGGGAGGAGGGTTGGGGGGTAGTGGCTTGGCAGGAGTGACAGGGCTGGTGCCTGCTTACCTTCTCAGTGGAGGAGTGTCTGCTGGACGAGGACAGCATGCTGATCCCAGTGGCCGTGGGGGGCGCCCTGGCTGGGCTGGTCCTCACAGTGCTCATTGCCTACCTCGTTGGCCGGAAGAGGAGCCACGCTGGCTATCAGACGATTTAGGCTGCTGCTTGCACAGACGGCAGCCGCAGGGTCTGTATTCCCCCTGGGCTGAGGGCGTGTTGGCGGGAGGCACACTGTTGTTCAAATCTGCTTTATCAAATGTGAAGTTCATCTTGCAACATTTACTATGCACAAAAGAGTAACTATTGGAATGACGGTGTTAATTTTGCTAACTGGGTTAAATATTTTGCTAACTGGTTAAATGTAATGTTAATATTTACCAAAGTAGAACTTGAGGGAGAGAAGAGTGCTTTCCTCAGCCGGCCCTGGCTGCACTATCATCTGACACTTTACGATTCTGGTGTTTGGTTCTTCACTCTTTACTCAGATTTAAGCCTCACAAGGGACATTCTCTGGTCCTCACGCTTAGGACCTGTGAAGGTTGGCTAATTGTTAGGCTGATGCGCTTAAGAAATTAAAAATAGTAGGGACGAAAAATCTTGAAACAGAAGTACTTCAAAAGATGAACACCTGGAATGCTTAAATTAAGCTTTAAGGCCAGGAGGGCCTGGCCCTGGGTGGCAGCAGCGGGTGTTGGGAAGGCACTCGGAGTGTCCTCTGGTGTCTCCATCTTGCCACTCAAGAGCTGGCACTTTTTTAAATATAAAAATAGGTGTTGTTTTTATTTACTTTTTTTGTAAAGTGGTTTTCAGTCTTCTGTTTGGCATTCAGGGTGATCCCTTTCTGCGCTGTGTACAATGATAGATAATTCACTCCTGATTTATCTGCTGTGGCTTGGGTGGGTTGTACACTGAGGACCGGCTCCATGTGACGCGTTGCCTGTAACAATGCTAATAAAAACCTGTCTTTTTGTCTAGACCTTGTCCTTTTTTCAGCCGAGATGAGAGATGAAGGTGATGTTAGGGGAGGTGGGGTGGATTGCCCCACGTAGGCTGGTTTTGGGGAAAGTTGATGTGGCCGGTTTTCTGGGTGGTGGTTTGAAGAGATGTGATTTTTTTTTTTTTTTTTTTTTTTTGAGACAGAGTCTCAAGCTGTTGCTCTGGGTAGAGTGCCACAGCATCGAAGCTCACAGCAAACTCCAACTCAGGCTCAAGTGAGCCTCTTGCCTCAGTTTTTCTATTTTTAGTGGAGATGGGGCCTTGCTCTTGCTCAGGCTGGTCTTCAACTCGTGAGTTCAAGCAGTCCGCCTGCCTCGGCCTCCTGAAGTACTAGGATTACAGGTGTGAGCCACTGCACCTGGCTGAGATGTTTTGACAGCACAGCCATAGTGTGGTCTCTTCTGCAAACTCGCAGTGTGTCCTGAGAAACACATAAACAGGGAAGGCAGGTGCAGAGAAAGTCAGTACACAGGCTTCCGGGGCTCCTGGGAGGCCCTTGTGTCTTGTCTGCCAAGGCAGAGGCCCTGCCTCCCCTCTAGGGTATTCTCACAGCTTCCTCCACCTGCTGAGAAGATGTGTGAAAGGCCTAAGAACCTGTATTTAAAGAAAAAGCCACAATGTTCAGGCTGAGGCCCTGGTGGCCCAAGCACCCTTTAGAGAGGCAACCTTTGCTCCCCTGGGCCACACTGTCAGCCCACCATGGTCCTTCTCTCCAGGAAGATGGGCCCCACCCCGCGGGGGGTGCTAGGAGTTTCCAAGGTGGGAACTTAGGTCTAAGATGTAACCTTGCTGTTTTTAAGCAAAAAGCAAAACCCTACACAGTCAGGATCCATAGACTGTGGTCAGAGTCTCAGGACATGAGATTGTGGCTCCCCAGGGTCGTGTCCCAGAACCTGCTGACCACATGAGAGCCTGCAGTTGGGTGGCTCTGAGGCTCCAGCTGCCTGTGCAGTTTTGCAGACTGCGGGATCAGGAGCAGGGTTGGTATCGGTGACATTGTGAAGGTCCCACAGTGAGTTGAGGAGGTGCTTCCCAGATTGTCAGTCTCTCTAGTCTGGATAGTGCAGATGAGCCAGAATGGTTGTGGTTCCTCTGTGCCTGACCTGGGTCAGGACCTGGGTCAGTGCCAGTGCTCAGGCCTTTGCAGAGGTTTCAGGATTTTATAGCATCCCAGGAGTGAAGAACATTTGAAAAGTGGCCTGTGTTGGAGCCTGACTGGCAACAGCTTTGGAGGCCCTAGGCCAAGCCTGATGGGGAAAGGTCTGGGGCCACACACCTGTGATAGGGGCTTCCGAGGCCATGCCAGGTAGTGGGCACCAGCCAGGGGTGTTCCAGAGGACAGGTGGCTACGCTGTGGGACCTTAGCTGCCTGAGTGTAGGAAGTTGTGGTGGAAGGCTGGCCTTATGGCCCACCCTGTCATTGCCCCCTTCCAGGAACAAGGAGTCGTGACCTGGGGCATTGGCGCATTATCTAGTCCTGACCCAGCTTTACTGGTGGTGCATCCCCAGGAGTTGTGGGTGCTTTGGTGACAAGGCCTGTGTGCCTTGTGCTAGAGGTAAGGATGAGCCCCCCAGGCCACTGCTGGGTGTGTCTGCCCTGTGTCGTTTCTAGACCACCTCCCCTTGGCTGTGGCTTTTGGAGGCCTATCCACCTTTAAGGCCCTGGCTTCTGTGGGGTGGCGACACAAAACAGAAGCAGGAATAGGACTAGTTTGAGTATAGAGATGAGTCTGAAACTGCAGGAAACTGTGCTAAAAGAAAAAGCGATTCAGAGAAATTCAAGAGAATGTACAAATCCTACTGCTAAGCAGGGTAGGTGGTCTCGGGGTGGCGTGGGTAGGCCAGCTTATGTCCCACCTGCTTCTCCCCTGTGCCCAGTGCATTCCTGCAGCCTCAGCCTGGCCTCTAGGGAATTCAGCTCTGCCTTGTGGCAGGTTTGTTCACCTGGAGGCCTCACTGCTTTTAGGGCCTTGAGCCCTGAGGGCGTCCCTTCCCAGCTCAGGCCCAAGATGAGTTGGCCACACCAACGTTCCTGGTCCGACTCTCATTCCCTCCATCATCCATGCTTGTCTGTTCCATTTGGTCTAAGGAGAAATCTCTGGTTACATGTACAAGCCTCATGTAAAGCCAGTGCCACAGAGAGAAGAGGGCAGTGTGTACATCATGCTAGACCAGTGACCGTCCGCTATGATTTTAATTTTCATTTGTCTGAGAAGCTGAAAATGACAAACTCACAGTTATTGACATATTTTATTATATACAAACGTATGCCCCTCATATTTTATATAAAAGTAGTTTTTCTTTGGAAACAACTTCATAGCTAATAACCCAAAGGTTGCAGAATGACATCATTTTAAATTACTCTTTTATAATAAAAAATTCACAACTAAAGTGCAGTGACATCAAGTATTTACAGCCCAAAAGGAAGGTGGTAAAAACTGGTGCAGCTCCATCACCAGTGCCTGGGCCAGCTCAGCCCTGCACCAGCAGCCTGGCCCTGCAGCTCTCACGTAGCTTGTTCACAGTCGTCATGGATAAGCTTCCGGGTTCTGAAAATATGTTCTGGAAGGGAAAGAGAATTAGTTTAAAATAACAACATGTTTTTGCCTTAGCTTTTCAGACCAGCAGATGGACAGAGGAAAGGCCATAGGCCTCAACTATGTTAAGGGAGGATCGGCTGTGTGGGCAGGTCCTCCAGGTGGTTCAGTGGTTCCCACCGCAGCCCCCAAGGCGAGCCCACTGCAGGCAGCTATGAGCAGTCCAGGCCTAGGTGTCCCTTGGCTCTGCCTGCACTGGGGCCCAGGATATCCATGAGGAAGTTGGGGTTATAGAGAAGTGGGGTGCCAGTCAGAAATAATCCTGGATGTGGACAGCACTCTCCTCTGTGATCCCCACTTTGGGGTGAGAAAGCCACAGTATTCCACAGGTGAAGAGTAGTTTGGGGGAGGCCAGGTGTCCAGGGCAAGGACACAGTCCTGGGGACTGCCAGTGGCTACCCAGGAGAGGACAACTCCTCCAGCCAACAGCCACTCAGCGGGTGAAATGCCTGGGCTGCTGATCTTGAGGGGAGGTTCTTGGTTTTTTTCCATAGCTCTTCATGTTAATGAGTCCTTCACAGTCTGTGAACCCCAAGTTTTGAAGTAACCCAAAGGCCTGTGTACCTTTTCTGTCTCTGATCTTTACTTAACCTTTGGACAAAGCACCAATTCTGAGGAAGTAAAAGCCCACTATTAGCAGACCCCAAACTCTTGACCCAACTGCAGGGCTGAGCTAAAGCATCACCAAGCAAGGCAGAAAACAGGATCCCTGCCAAACACCGCCCAGGGAGGGTATCACCTTATTCACTCAGGAAGCTCCTGGCCTGAGGTATGTGTAGCACGACGGCTTGCAGCCAGCCCTCGGACAGCCTTCAAAGACACCCTCCTGTGTGCATAGGTCACCCACAACTGTGGGAAGTGCAGCTCAGAGGCTGTGGAGGAATCCTCTTGACTAGGCGAATCCTCCCTGATGGGCTGTGGCAGCCTCCAAGTGCCTTCTCTGCACGTTCCAGGGAGGGCTGGAGGAGCCCACCCTCTGCAGAGGGCACTGCGCCTGTGGTGACTGTCAGTGAATCTGGAGTGAACTGCTGTCTCATCTGTCACCATGACCCTCTGTTTGATGAGGCACTGGGTGGTGAGTGTGACTGGGCATAGCTGCAGTACCTCTCAGGTTCGCCATGCCAGCTGTGCAGGGTTGGGGGTGGCACTGAGCTGTGTTCTGTGACCACAACCCCTGTAGTAGGTGGACAAAGGCTCACTTACCCCATGTCCAGCTGCACCCAGGAGCTACCCCACATTCAGAGCTGTGACAAGGCCACACTCATGTACTTTCTTGCTGGGTGTCCTGGATTCTTTCTGAATGAAGACAGTCCTAGCCCCCTAGAACACCACGCTGCATTACCTGACAACATTCACAGCCTCCTGATAGAAAGCCACCCCCTCCCACTGGGCTTCTAACCCACATGCCATGGGCCGGAAGGCCAGCAGGTGCACTTGGGCACTTGCTCAAAGTGTTCAAAAGTGAAGAAGGTGGCTCACACCTGTTATACCAGGATGTGAGGCCAAGGCAGGAGGAGTGTTGAGGCTAAGAGTTTGAGACTGGCCTGGG